GATAGTTTCTGTGTTGTAGAGGAGGAAGAGGAAACCTGCAAAAAAAGTGAATCCAGTGAGGAGGAAGTGTCCATTAATTTTGATCTCCTAAACAATGAGAATTTTGCTAATGGAAGAAAACAGTACCTCACTCGACGCAGACAAAAAGTAAACCAGGCCAGGATGGAAGAGAACTATTCAGCCCCAATGCAAAAGAAGAAACTATCCCGAATTATTGTTCTCAGTGATTCTAGCGGGGAAGAAACAAGTGTCAGCAATGAAAAGCCTATGAAAACAGACTGTGTCAGGGCACAACAGGAAAAGGCTAAGTTACCCAAGTCATTTCCTTCAGTCTTTTCTGCACAGCACAAAGAAATTGCTGAGGAAAGCACTGTTCATCATTCTACAGAGGATAAAAGCAAGATGCTTCTTGGCTTGAAAGCTTCAGTATCTGAACTGCTGGATTTTCACCCAGACCATCAAGTCAGGAGTTTTTCACCAGCCATCACTAGCTCTGCTTTGGGGAAAGAGAATCTCCAGGCTTCCAGTGAGGTTGGTGTTAATTCAATGCAAGGGCCTTCCTCTCACCTCATGTTTTCTAAAGAAGCAAGCCTAGCGGGACCCTGGCGTATTGCACTGCTGTTCTGAGGGCTGTCAGCAGTGTGGTGAAGGAGCAGAACTATGCTGCTTGTACTGCTTCGCACAGTCTCCCTTTTCTGTGATACAGGAAGCATTTGTACTCACATGGTGACCTGGAGAGTATCCTAGTAGTCAGTAATAAAAATCATGGAGAAATATGGATCTATTCCAAATTGCAAAAAGTGTCCACTAATTATTTGGGTTTTGTAGTTATAAAATACTTGCTTGCTCTCCTAAGTGAACAGCCTTCATAGTCTGAGGTTGGATTCCTGACCTCTTACACTTTTCTGCCTGACTTCTATTATTTACAGGATTCAGGTTTTGTTGAACTGATCTTAAAGGTCTTTTCCAACCTAAATGATTCTATGACTCTGTGAAGGCTGCATGTTTTTGTCATTCAAGCTGACTTTTTTTGACATTCAAGCTTTTTAATCCAAATAATTGGATTAAAAAGAAAAAACCGTTAAGCATCAGTATTTGAAAAACATATTTTCTTTATGGGCATGTTGTTCTTTGGAGTTATGCTTATGTGATTTCTGAGAAATACAGTGCGTTTTGCATCATTTACAGGTGGCGAGTTCTTTGAAGAACGCCAGTAGAAGCACTTCAGTTCCATCTTGTTCTGCTTCCAAAACCCCGTCTTCAGCTACAGCTCTGTTTTCACGAGACCCTCTGGAGAAAAAGCCCTCACTCTGTGTTCTGGTAGATAGTCGTGAGATCTCCTCTGGAGCAGAGGTGATTTCCTCCTTGAAGGCAGTTCATGCTGTGAAGGTGCAGGTTTGCACTCTGAGCAGCAGCGATTACATTGTGAGCAACCGCATGGCAGTGGAAAGGATGTTTCTGTCAGAATTACTGAACTCTATGAACAGGACTAAAGTCACCCAGAGGATCCAGCGCCTGCAGAGCATGTTTGAGAGAACGTGTGTGGTTGTGGAAACGGACAGGATAAAACCAGGTAGGTGTTCCAAGGGTAGGGGATGCACCAGTGTCTGCTCAAACCTTGCACTGGCTACACTGGCTTTGTGTATTGCACAGGAAGAAAGCAGATTGAAACCCTGTACTGTAGTCTCTGTAGCAGCATTAAATTAATAAGATCACCAGCTGAAGATTAAAATTCATTTTGCTTCTGAGGGCTATTTAATAGAGGCACACTGGATCCAGCCGGATATGTTGCTTACCAGTTCTGAGGCAGGGAAAAGCAAGTTAATTCTGACCATATTAATAAGTCCAAAAACCCCCAACTTCAAGACAGATTTCAGCCAAGGTGAGAACAGCAGAATAAAGGAACAAGCAGTTTTTTTCCATGCTGTGTCCTAAAATAATAGCGGACTCAAGAAAAGTGAGTTCTCTGTCACACTGAAAAGGAACATTCTCACAGTCCAGACCCAGTAAGAATGACAGCTGGTCTGGGCACACCACCTACACACCGTGTAATAACCCTACCTCCAAATCGGAGACACCAAACCACATGCTGGCTGCTGCTTGGACAAGCGAAAGGCAATCAGCTGAATGAAATCAGTTTTTAAAAGAAAAGAGCAGCACTCCTACAAGGAGTTACTTTGGGAAGGCTGCAGCTGAGCTATCCCCTTGCATCACAAGGCCCAGAACAGAGTTACAAAGGCACTTCCTGTCTTGGTTAAACATTTGTGGAAAATTCAAGACTGTTTCTTGAATTTGTATAGTTTGGACAAGCCCTTTGTTTTAATCCTAAAATCCGAATTATGAATCAAACCATTTTACTAACACTGCTGTTCTCAGTGCCATGTAGAAGATAACTGAGGTGCCTTGCTTGCACCTGCTTTGCAGAAGAGGGAACTAGAGCTCACAGCGCCAATTAAATTACAGATGTTCTAGTGGAGTAAAACTCCACTACTTGAAATCACATTGTTGTGGATGCAGCTCTGGTTTAGTGACATAAATCCAATTTCAATTTATCACTAGTTCACATATGAAAACAGTGATAGAATTGGTGGTGTAGCTTCTCAGAGGGGTTGGAGATGAGCCCTTGATCTGCTTTATTTCCCCATTGCTGGGGGTCTTATCCATTTTCATTGGTTGTGCCCAGTTTTTATCATGACACAGTTTCCAGAGCGCTGCTGGTTTGTTATTGACAGTGTTCAAGTGCATTCTTATGTTTGTAGCTTTACCAAACCTCTTCTGACTTGGTCAGTCACCTATCATGTGTTTCTCCTAATGGCATTTAATTTGCAATTTCAGTATTACTTCCTAAACTCAACCTTTAAGAGTACCTTTACGTACTCTATTCAGGTAGACTGAATAAATTCTGCTCTTTGCTCCCTCCTGCTTCATTGAGATGTTTTTCCTCATCTTGTTTTTGGTTGTGAGTTCTCAAAGCAGGGGATCTTTGAGCCGTTTTGCTTTGCAAGTAATTCGTGTTCTTTTTTTTCACAGTAATTTAGCCTTTAAATCTGAGTTTTTTTGTATTTTTACTCTGCAGGAGAAACCTCCCGATTTTTCCAGAGGACGCAGTACTATGACAGCATGCTCTCAGCCTTTGTCCAGGCTGGCATCCGAATTCTTTTTAGCTCTTGCCAAGAGGAAACTGCCAGTTTGCTGAAAGACCTGGCTTTGGTGGAGCAAAGGAAACATGCTGCCATTCGTGTGCCAGTGGAGCTGGAGGGTCACAAAAAGGAAATGCTTAACTTCTACTTGAGCATTCCCAACCTCAGCTACCCTGCTGCTCTCAATATGTGCCATTACTTTGACTCCGTGAAGAAGATGGCCAACAGGTAACAGCCACAATGTACACCAGGTGCTGAGGCCTCACTTCCTCTTCACTCCTCTCTCCTCCAGGGCCTCCTGCTAGTGTAGTTGTTCAGGTGGATTCTTTCTGCATGTTTCTGTTGCTACCAGAGCTCCTAGTTTTCCTGTCCCTGCATCAGTCCTGCTCTTTATGCATTTTTCTGTCTCTTTGAGCCAAGTGGATTGGGCTGTGCTTCCACTATCCCTCCTACTGCTGTACCTTTTCCTTTCTCCCTTCCTGGCATTCCCTGTTTTCACTGCAGCTTTCTTTGGCTTCCTTAGCCTGGTGTGCTCACAGTCCTCAGAAATGCAGGGAGAGGTGACTGCCAGCAGCACACAGCATTCCTGCTGCTCTCTTCACAGTGGGTGCTTCTTCCCCACTGGCAGTTTCCCCTTTTGTCCAGGCATGCCCTGCTGCTCACCAGAGCCACAGGTGAGATGTCCTGCTGTGGTGTCTTACAGCTCTCCCATCGACATCGCCACTGCTGCTCAGGTCAGCCTGCAGAAGGCCGAGGAGATCTACCGCTACCTCCGCTGTGGTTTTGACATGCAGATGCTACCAGAGAACCTCTGTGCCAAAGGGAAAAGTGGTGCAGCTGCCAGGAGCTGAGGGGAATGAAAGTTGCCTTCTGGAGCCCCAGGCCATTTATTTTTTTATTGCACTTTACTGAGTTCAGATTTACTGTAAAATATGTAAATAAATCCTTGCAGAACAATGAGGGGGGGCTTTTGGCATGCTACTTCCCCTTCTGATTGTTACTTCATGGAAGGCTGTGTCCCATCTGCCTCCCACCCTTGCCAGCTGTGCCACACACATGGCTCTGAGCAGATCTGGGTCTGATCACTCCAAAACTCCTTTTAAAATAACTGTGGTGATCGAAGTAGACACCCCAGGTGAAGCCTGGCTGCTGTGGGACAGGCAGCAGTTTGTTGCCACACTGTGGCTGCCTAGCAAAGGAACAGTTTTCTGTCTTCGTATCACGTTTGGGAGCATGTGCAGAACTGAGGGAAATGAACCAAGATAAATAACCTAATTGCAGATGACCTGTGTGGGTGTAACAGACCAGTAGCAGGCTGTTTATCAGCCATTAATGCCTATTTAAAAACAAAAGAGGGGATGAAAACTTGCAGACTGGGGTAACAAGATAAACAAGACTGACTGACAGGCAGCTTGTAAAGCTTCCAGGGAGTTCAAAGGAGTCCAGGTCATATGTGAGTAAAATCGGCTTGTCCCTTTTTATTACATTAAGGAAATGTAAAAATTCAGACTCTCAGCAGAGGAAATTAAAAAGCAATTCCAGTTAGTTACCATTATAGATGTATTGTATTTCAGGAACATATTTTAACTTACAACTAACCAAAACTTGATAGAAATTGGTATCCATGTACATTTTTTCCTCCCTCAGGAGGAACAGGGCAACAGCAGTGAGGAGCCTGGGCAAAGAAGAGACACTGTGTACAGCTGGGAAATGACACATGGTGCGAGAGAGGCAGTAAGGCAAGCCTGGTGCTAAAACACATAAAACCACTGCAGGCCAAGTTGTACCATCACAGGAATGCTGCTGCTGAAGAGGGGTGGCCAAAACCCTTTGCTGCATATGAGAGGGACAGTAAGTGTTGAGCTAATGAAATCCACAAAGTTCATCAAAAAGAAAAAGAGGAATCATCCTGTTGTTCTTCATCGGATGAGTCTGTTGCCTCCGTCACAAACAGCTTCCCTGCCAGAGAGGGCTGTGTCACTTCTGTAAGAAAAACAGGGTTATTAGTGTGTGTGCCCAAGCTCGATAAGCAGCTACAGAAGGTCCAAAAAGCAAAGGTGCTTATGAAAAACAGACTGCAGAAAAATTATTAAACACAGATTGGGGAAACCCAACAAGCCAGCAGCAATGTGAAAGTTAGGTGAAGGAGCCTGAAATGATGGCAGCTACTTACTTGTATGGATTGGGAAGGTCCTGCGGGATGCTGGCGTACCAAGCACACCTCCAGCCTGACAGAAGGACAGAAAGGACCTGGTGAGACCACAGTGCAGCACGGGATGGGCAGCACAGCCTCAGGGCTGCTGACGCAGGTTCTGAACAGTGCTGGAATTCAGTTGCCCTATTGCTGTGCTACATTTTCACCTAAAGGTTTTAACTGTTCAGCTTCCATAAATTCTATCACTGACATTTCTTGGCTTCTGGGATCTCAGCTTTTCATGGAAAAGTCAGAAATAACAAAGTTTAGGATACTGAAAGAATAAGTACATAAACTGAGGAACTGATACAAAGTGAGTATTACTGTTTCCTACAGTACAGAAGAACAGTAATAAAAAGTAACAGGAACTTCATACGTACCTATAGATCACCATTACAAATCCTGTAAAGCATTTGACAATAAATAGCTCTTTTCTAACAAAAAGAACTTTTCTCTGAGAAAAGCAGATACAAAACCCAGCAGTTTGGGAGGAAGTAGGGGAAGTTTCCTGTTTTCCATCTTGCACATAGACACTAGTCTGTGGTCCTGGGATTCTCCTGCCTATTGCTTAGCTAAACCTTGCATTGTTAGGGTGAAATTAGGTGGCATTCAAGGAAACCAGGCTTATCACCTTCTTCTTGACATTGTCCCAGGTGCCTCTGCTGCCCTGCGTGTTCTTCTGCATTCTGAAAACGTACTTGTCGTAATCATTCCTGCAGGTGTAATTGAGCAAGTTAGTGTCACCACTGTGCTGACCACAGAATCCACTGGACACAGTTAAAGATGTTACACATGCAACTCTAATTCAGCACTGCCACTAAAAACAGTCATTGGGCAATTAAATATCACAGCAGCATTGGATCAGATCACATGCTAGATCTCTAAATGCAAGTACCAGGCAAAGCTTCACCAGCTCCCCAGGTGAGGTTCATTTCTTGTCCATTAGATAAAACACCACTCACACAGCAAGTTTCAAGATGATTGATTCAGAAAAGCCTGAAGCACCTGGGTTAACAGGGTCAGACTCAAAATGAACAGAGAAACCACTGCTGAGGCTGAAGCCCAAATCACTGCCTTCTCCAAGAGTAAAAGGACATATTGTTGACATAGGTTTTGCTGCGCATGCTTAGTTGAGTAGCTTAAAGGGCACACACTGCCAGAGGAAAGGGCTTTCATTAAACAAATCCCTCAAGGACCATAGGATTTGCTACGTGTGCTCCATGTCTGAAAGTGAACTGGTGTCCAAGTTCCAAGAGTGATATTCTTGAGTGACAAAAAACAATCTTGGGGAAAATGAGAAAGGAAGACATTAGCAGAGGAATAGTCAGCTGCAGGAGCTCCTACCTGTTGATGGGTACCAGCATACCAGGGCTGATATGCTCACACTGAGGGGTTTTCGCCGTAGGGAGAACAGCTGAGGAAGGCGTGATTGGGTTGTCCGTAAGTGCAAAAGCATCATCGTCATCATCTTGGCTTCCCCAGAATGTTGGCAACTACAAAGTCACAGCAGAGCAATCAATGACCTGCCCTTTGTAACAGAAGTCTGCTGAAAAGGCTCCTCACAGGTCTGGCTCAGCAGCCATAGGCCACAGGCCCTGCACAACACTATGGACCATGATGGTGTCCCTCTTCCCCACAGAGAGCCCCAGACTCTATTCTCAACAGGCAGTTGCTCTGTTCCCTTGCTTACTTCAGCCGCTTTTTTGACATCTGGAGATGCAGAAACCAGCAATGTGCACAGCAGATAGAACACAGGTATGCAAGGACTTGACAGAGTGGCCACGCAATGCCTCTGTCCAGCACTTAATACTTCTCTCATTGATGCCCAACACTTTCCTGGCCTTTTAGGCTGTGACTACACATTCAAAAATAATTTTTGATTAAAATTACAAACTCAAAGCTGACCATCAGTATTTGGGAGGAGGATTTCAGGATAACTCAGTGAACTTCTTTCATTTTGAAGAGAAAGAACTGGAAAGGCTCAGAGAGTAGACATGATGATAAAAAACAGAGCTCCCCCACTCAGGAGCTGCTGGAACGTAGCACCAGAAATTGCCAGGTGCAGAGGCTGTACAGGTTCAAGGAGGAGCTGGCCTTGTACATGAAGAGGGAATCCATCCACAAATGACTCCTAATTTTAAACATGGCACATGCCAGGAAAAATGGATTTTGGAGGGAAAGGATTAAAGTAAAAAAAAAAAGGGGGAACTCACAAACAAATGGCTGAAGTTGTATTCTGCCACAAGAGGAGTCTCCTGTAGAATCCCTCTGCAGAACCAGGGTGTCTTAGACAAGGATGCATGGCCTTTTTTGTGGCCAACCCACTCATACTCATCCATGGGGGATTTCTCCACAGCACTGCTTATGGAAAGCAATGCAATTACCACTGCTTAAATTCTAACTTCCCCATGAGTGTTAGTCCACTTATGGATGTGTTCCAGAATAAGAAATGCACTACTGCTACGAAGAAAATCCACCAACAAACAACTATATGAGGAGATACAGAGGTACTGTTGTGTCCGTCTGGAGCTGAGGCACTAGCTTTAATAGGCAGAGCTAGCTGGGGCAGAGAACAGCAAAGATGCATCGTGGACTATACGTAAAGAATTCCCTACAGAGAAAAAAAACGGTTCTCTTGCTAATTAAGTGACTTTCTCTTTACAAATGAAAACGGGATTAACTAACATTGAGAGATGGACAACGAAGCTGGTGAAGGGCCTGGAGTACAAGTCTTATGAGGAATGGCTAAGGGAACAGGGGTTGTTTAGTCTGGAGAAGGCTCCGGGGGAACCTTATTGCTCTACAACTACCTGAAAGGAGGTTGTAGTGAAGTGGGGATTGGTCTTTTCTCCCAAGTAACAAGTGTCAAGATAAGAGGTAACAGCCTCAAGCTGTGACAGGGGAGTTTTAGACTGGGTATTAGAAAAATTTCTTCACAGGGAGAGTGATCAGGCATTGGAACAGGCTGCCCAAGGAAGTGGGCGAATCGTCATCCCTGGAACTGCTCAAGAAATGTGTAGATGAGGCCCTCAGCGATACAGTTTAGTGGTGGTCATTGCAGTCCTGGAGTAATGGTTGGACTTAATGATCTTAAAAGTCTTGTCTTAAAAGTCTTTTCCAACCTAGTTGATTCTATTCTACGACTCTGGGAGAGCACATACTCACGCTTCACCACAGTGAAGTGGAGGCTTATCACAAACCGTAGCACTCATCAGCTGTGGCACTGGGTGCTTGGTGCAGCTGGGGGCTGCACATGGAGCAGGTGGAAACACACCCAGCCTGCACTGGATGCTAAAACTGAACCTAACCAAGGAAACAGGGCAGCTCCTTCAGCCCAAACAGGAGAGAAGAAGTAAACAGGCAAGGACCAGGACAACAGCATAACAGAACTCCCACAGAGAAACCCACTCCCAGGCAGCATCAAGAGTTTTTGAATGCTAGATGTGCTGGGAAGAGGAAGAAAGAAGATCTTACCTTACTTCATGCTGAGTATCAGCCTGACTTTATAAAGTCCCTGGTTCTGCGGCACAAGGATGCATCTGCTGTTCCCAGGACAGCAGTATCACTGCACAGCCAACCTTTCCAGCAGCACAAGTTCCTCCCACACAGAGGCAGAAGGGATGCCCCCCCCCACCACAGACCTGTTTAAACATCCATTCAGCAGCAACGCTTGTCTGCAGGAGCCACACATTCCCACTGCCAGCAATTCAAATATTACAATAACAAACTAAGTAAATAAACTTCTTTCCCCAAATTCACAAGATCAATGGAGCTGAACCAGCAGACTTGTAACACACTCTCGAAACACCAACCAAAAAAGCACACTCATATATACACTCTTTTCCCAGATTTACCTTTACTTTTCTATTCTGAAAGGGTGTTGCAGTGAAAACATCATCATGGTTGTCCTTCGGCAAATGCTCCAGGAAATCTCTCATCTGCTTCTTTCTTTTCAGTGTTCCCACTTTGGCAGTTATTGTAACCGGCTCTTTCTTATCTACACAAATCAAAATAGTAATTGTTCTAAAGACATCACTTTAAAATTCACTAAATACAATCAGTGCTAGTGATAAAGAGTCCAGTCTGTCCTCTGTGGCAATGTCTCAGCTTCTTTATGATCCTTTGAGTTCTTAAACAATTTATGCTTTCAGAAAGAACTTCTCTACTATATGTTAAGTGGAAGCTTACTCCAGAGCCTTACATAGCTGTTGCAAGTGTCACACCTCAGCCATTTTGTTATGATTTTAACAGAACTAACCATGCGTTGGCATTTCAGAGAAAAAGATCCTAAGGCTTGTCACCTGTTTCAAGAGGAATAAAGTGCTCAGACAAAGGCTTTGCTGCACAGAGATCAATTTAGTGTCCTCAGCACGAGGTTTATGGAAAGCTCATCTCAGGCTTCAGCATACACGCTTATATCCTGTCAGTAAGAGGAGCTGCTATCAAACAGCTTTCCTTCCCTAGGCACTTATTCCCTGCATTAAAGAACTGGACTGAAGATCTTACACACCTTTCACTTTGGAGTGTACTTGCTCTCTGTAAACATGAACTACTAACTTCAGAACTGGACATAAAACAGCAACAGGCATGTCAGTGCCAGATACCCCAGCACGCAACCTCACTGTTCTTACTCTGCGTTGCTCTTAGTGCATCCAAGTGCCCCTTATCTTTTTTTGAGAGCTCTACAAGTAGTTCATTATCTACTAGGCCTCCAAGAACTTCTTAAGGTACAAACAGCTGTTTTCCCATAGGTGACAAGTCTTTCCCATAAGACTTCCCATCATGCAGAAATTGAAAAAATTCTAAGAACATCCTTTGTCTTCTTGTTACTTCACAGTCATTTATGCTGCCCTCCAAGCTCTGCAACAAAGCTTTACACTGCAGAAGATAACAGTCTTCACTGTCAGACCCTGATGAGCATTTGTCTGTATCTGTCATTTCATAATAAATACTGAATTTTAGATTATTTTAAATGACAAAATACCCAAAACCAAGAGGTCAGTACCTTTCTGTTCTGATTTTCCTGAAGCTGTGGCCTTCCTTTTGGAACCTGTTTCCTGTTGTTCTGCATATTTCTGCTGGCACTCTTCAGCAGAGCGAGACCCCACCGCCATGGCGACCTCCACCCAGAAGCCATTCTTGTGCTTTGGAAATGAGGCAATGGCCCTGCCAAAAGAACACAGCCACAGCCTTCAGCACACTGCAGGACCTGCACAGCACTGCCAGGGAAAGCATCCAGAGACCAGCTGCCCTCCCTGGAAAGGACGCTGATGTCTCTGGTATCTTCTTCAGAATGCAGATTTATTGGGACCATTTAAGGTAATGGTGCCATTACCTATTATTCTCCTGTATTTGCAGCCTCCCCCCCACAAGACAGGAGTTCATGCCTTTTCAGGTTTCTAATCTAAAAGAAACAAGCTCAAACTGGTCATTTTACTACTTGGTGTATGTATTAAATATTGCCCAAGAGTTTAAGTAATTGGATGATGTTTTAATTAAACATTCTGGCAGCCAATCTCTCCTTTCCAAAGCTTAAATACATAAACACATCATGTTTAACATTTTATTCCATTAGGGGAGAGAATACGCTCCCACTGACATATAGTCTAAATCATAAATATGAACACTTTCACTTATTATTCGCCTACTTATTTTTTTCAATTTTACTCCTAGGAAGGCTTATTACTTTTAACAAGTACAATTTTTGAAAAACAGGTAGAGGAGTAGATTGACAAAATTTCACCTAATATCTGTGTTCCTCTCACTTCACACTGATCACTGTGGAAGGAGCTGGTTTAGGCTCACACATCTACAGTGTGAATCCTAAAAACCCAAATGCAGATCACTCAACCCCCCCAGCATATACCTCCCAGTGCCCAAGAGAACCTTTGCCCTGTGAGGACAGCACAACCACTTGCCTGTAGAGCTTCTGTAATTCCTTTTCAGACCAAGCATCACCTGCCCTTGGAAAAAGCTGTAGAGGTTTCTGCACCTTTCCCCTTTCAGATTCTCTTGATTTTGCTGCTGAAGGCTTGGCAGTGTTAGAAACTTTGTAGTTTGTTTTTCTATCAGATAGCTTTAAATCCTTTTCTTTTATATGAAACTCCTCTTCACTGCTTTCAGACTCAGTGTCAGGTTCAATCAACCTTGGCAGGTTGGTTCTGTCTGTTGTCCTCACTGCCTTATCAGGCAGGTGGGAAGTTCTAGACCTAGTAGCTGTTTCTTCTTCAAGTAAATCAGAACCATCCTTGGATTTGGGTACACTTTGCCTCAACAGCACATTATAGGTGTTAGTCATGTGTTTTACTGACCTTTGCTCACAGGACATCTTGTTTGCATCATTCTGTGACCTTCTACAGTTAGAGGAAAGTTTAGAGCTGTGAATCTCTGGTTTCAATAAAGGTTTAGTTTTCCTTTTGACAGACAGTGGGATATCTTCACTGGATTCCTCTTCCTCATCTTTGCTTGACGGTTCTTCTGTTAAGTGCTTATTTTGCCGATGTTGGGCTGACCTTAAAGAGTATTTGTAAGCCTCCTGATACATAGTCAATTCTCCATGTTCCGCTCCTCTGTTTTCCTTTGATGTTGCTGAGGTTCTGCTACTATGTTTGTTTAGTGCTCCAGCATTTAAAGGAGTCAGCTTAGCAGAAAGCTGTTGTTTAGTTTTTGCACTGTTGACTGCACTATCACTCGCATCATCATCTGAAACAAAGTGCCTGGCCGTATTGCTCCCAGTGGGTTTGGCTTCTCTTTTGGAACTTACCCCTTTCTCATTGTTTTTCCCTGCAAGAGATGATGTCAGTATAACATCACACATTGTAACATAAACCATTACTGTGTTCTCAGGCCAGCAAAGACTAGCCTGTTGCAGGATACCAGACAACCCATGCTCATTGAATCTTCCAACTGCTTTCTAACAGGCTGTAGCCCCTAGTGTTATCAAACATGACTCAGTAAAACCAGCACCTAGTGAAGCTTCCTGAGATCACCACACCTCTTCTCCCATACACGCATCTTGGAAGGATTGAGTAGAGGCTTCTGCCCTAACACATACACTCCAATGTATCTGGGATTCAGTTTTTCAGGAACAAGAAGGTACACAAGACAGACGTGACAGCATGTCCCGGCAGGCAGGCCAGTCCACTGCATGGCAATCAAGAACTGAAAAGCCATTTACACAACTTTTGTAAAGAGCACATCACCGAAAACTGGTTATAAGCATTGGATTTGCACTGAGCAAGTGTCCCTCTGCTCAGAAGGAGCACAACTAGCAGCAGGAGGGTTCCTCGCCAACAGGAGACATCCTCTACCTGCCCAGTTCATTTTCATGAGAGAATGCCCCCAGATGACTGAAAGGATTAGGATTATCAAGGCTTCAAAAGGGAATCATAGAATAGTTAGGGTTGGAAAGGACCTTAAGATCATCTAGTTCCAACCCCCCTGCCATGGGCAGGGACACCTCACACTAAATCATGTGAAATTTTTGAAGAGATAGAGAATAAAATAGTAAACAGAAAATGTTGCTAAAATGCAGAGGCTGGGGTTGAGCAAACACTGACATCCCAAAAACTTTACTTGTGCCACAAAGAACTTTTCTGCAGGGAACATGACAGTTGCTTTACGAGAGAAACTTCTGCTTTATATTTAACAATGTCTTCAGGATTCTGTTACTTCCCAAATTCTATTAAATGTTTTAAAGCTCTGTTAATATACTTCTTTTGCCTACATAGGCTTTTTTTTTTTTAATTCATCCAACTTAAAAAGTACAGCCAGAGCAGCAGTTCCCAGGACTGGTGAACTCTGCTTCTCTTCAGGTTCTCTCCAGCTACATGTAACAGTCACACTGACAGATCCAAACTACAGGAGCAGGAACTTCAGAACACTCATAATCCTTTAATTCCAGTTTCTGGTAAGAAGTCTGTTCCCATTAGTAAATAACATGATTTACAAACATGGTTTATATTTGGAGCTGTAAAACTGGGCATTTACACTACTTTGGTAATTGGTTGACTGCTGCTTCTATAAACATTAAAAGACTAAAATAATTGCTTTGCATTAACAGGACATCACCATACCACTCCAGCACCCAACTCATAATCCCACTGATTCTAGTCAATAACTTTAAGAGAAAAAAAAACAAACAAAAAAAAAACACCACAAAACATTTTTTACCTTTACTTTGTCTTTCTGACATTTCTTTCGTGGCCTTCGTTAGTTTCTTTCTTTTATTCTTCTTTGAGATGGAGCTCGTCTGTCTTTGGGATTTTTTACTACTATACAGCTTCAAAATAAAACAATTTAATCTAAACTTCTGCAAGAGTTTACATATCAAGCCAACTGACACCAAATCTGAAAACAAAATGTTTACAAGGACTGGTAGATTTAAAAGTCACCTACATTGACTGGTATCTACTAAATACTATGTGAAGGACACAGATGCTTATGCAAATGCATACAACCAAAGCAACTTAGCCAGGATTCCTTTAAATTTAAATATCCTAAACCCCCAAATTAATATCTCAAGGCCTAGAACTGCTTGAGTTGGTGGTTAATGAACTGAGGAAATATCTGGTCCTAACAGATGTGAAACCCCACATGGTGAGGGGTGCACCATGGCAGCACTGACAACCCTGTGGCAGGGAGTTTGTGTTATGGTACAACTGGAAACATTTTACCTGTGAACCCTGATGATGCAAACCAGTCCATCTGCAACTTCCTCTCAGAAAAATTTATCTTTCAAAAAAGAACACTTTTGCCAGAAGTAATTCCCAATGATTTCCATTCTACAGACAACAATACCTGATAATACAGAGATTAAGACTATTTTTTGTTTTAAAATATTTCTATAATGCTTTCAAGCTTTCCTGCCTCTTCAGGTACTTGTAAGAGCTGGACTCTTCCTGTGCGATACCTAGCCAAATATATTCATTATATTTAAGATACATTTAAGTAAACAATAAACAAAAGAGTCTTACCATGCTCAAATAATCAGTTCCACCATATTGTATAGTAACATTTAGCTCCTGGTCAACAAACTCGCGTTGCCCACACCAAAAACTCAGTGGTGGTTTAACAAGACGGCCACTCCGAGTGTACACTTGGTCACTCACTATGGATTTTTGGTTTGGTGTTGTAACTGCAAGGAGAAACAAGGAATCTAGTTTTGTCCCCAGTATTGTATTGAAAATTCAGCTTTGCGGACTTCACAAGCATAGCAGCAATGTTGCGTTTAAACCAACCTATTTGCACTGACTACATAGAAAATATAAAACTTAGGACAGTGTTCTGTTGTCCTTTTAAAAGTGCTCAGGTTAGCACTGAGCACAGCTTAACATGATTGAATTTATAATCCTCACAAATTATAGAATTTACTCTTGTGAACTTTTTATTTTGTTTAGAAGTTTATAAATACTGTAGAAGTCATACAGGGGAGTAGAATGATAAAGAAAAGTTATCACACTGAACACATCCTAACTGCAACAAGAGAAAAAATAAAAGAAAAATGCTTTTATAGTGTTAGCAAGAAAACCTGATTACAGTATTAACAAATAGTACCAGGAAGTTTGGCAAAAGTCTTGCTGGAACTTGCTGGAACTATGACAGGACATTAAAAACAAGTCAAAGTTAAACCTAAAAGCTATTTGTGTCCAGAACAAAGCTGAGACTGCATTAAAAGGCAAAGGAAAAAACAGGAGGATCAACAGGTTATGGCTTTACACCCATTTCCCTTGGAAACAAAGCCAATGCTATGAATTCTTCCATAATCAATTCCATCCATACCCAAATGTTAGCACTCCCTATATCTCCACTGTGGCAAAAACGTTAAGATGCCATGAAACAAACCTGCTCGAGGACTTGAGATGATTTAAAATTACCCCAGATGAAAAGGGCACTGCAGGGAGGAGTCCAAGGATGGAGCTGTGATAGAGACATTAAATCCCACAGGCATCCCCAGAGGGACTAAGAAGAGAGTACATTATGCAAAATAGCAACTAGAAAAAAAATTCGGTCAAGTTTGCTGTCAGGATAAATGGCTCTGAAGTCATTGCCTTCAGCTACCGCAGACCAACCAGGCTGCTGCTCCTTTCCCAGGGTCAACCCTGAGGGCAGCCCCGACTTACTTGGTGTATGGCAGCATACCAGAAATAAGAAGACAAGTCAGTGCTTTTGATCACTGTGGTCTAAGGGAACACAAATAAAAAACTCCACCCAACTAGTCTGTTACACTTCCATACAGCCCGATTAACAAGATAATCTTCTGATAGGGACAATAGCTCTCAAAAGCACCCCAACTTTTTTTCTGAAGACAGGATTATTAAATACTCACAAGTGTTTTCACTGTTCTTCGGTAATACTTCATAGGTGGTGTTCCTGGCTTCAGGTGTCTTTACACCTCCTGTTGAGTCTTTTCCATTTTTCAACACATCAGCACCTACCACTGAGTCACCTTCTTCATCTTCATTCTCAGCACTATTTTGTTTTCGTTCTTTCCTAACAATTTGGAGGAAAGAAATAATAAAACATCTTAAAGGTAAAAGGGTATCCTTCCAAAGAAGCAATAAGTATGTGCCTGGAACATAGTCTTCATGCCCACATCTATAATCTTTTATACTCCTCTAGTACAGTATTCTTAAAAAGCAAAATCTCAATGAATACTAAAAAGAACATTGCAATGAAACGGAATCTCCAAAGAAATACCTTCTTCTTTCCTCAAGAAATTCCTCCATGTATTCCTTCCATTTTTGGGAAAAACCGTATGTAAATCTTCTGATGAAATGGTAGGGAAATCCTGTTTAAAATAAAATCAGCATTAAAAATAGCTGAGCAATATTTTTAATCACAAAAAGTAGCAATAATATCCAGTACAATCATGGTTTTGTAAGTACCTCAGAAGCAAATTGCGTCTTTAAACACACCAGAGACACAGGCTGCAGAGAACAGCATAGAGAAGTTAACCAAGAATTGACTAATTACACTAGTTACAAGTGTCAGTCTCTGGAGACAGCACTCGAGTTTCCAGGAACCAGGAGCATACACTTTCCTGTTCATCTCACTGTATTGACACAAGGCTTCTTGGCAGAGTACCGCAAGTCCCACAGAAAGCCTGAGGCTTTCAGGCTCCAGTTACATCTTAGCTGTTTCGACTTGCACAGAGTTTGGACTAAATTGATCTTTAAAGTTCCCTCCCATCTTAAACTATAAAACCATTCTGTGACAGATGTAAAAATATCCCTTCCCCACCACCTCGTGCAACATTTTACATTTACCAAGACTGAATGTCATAATTTGAACGGCCTCTCAAAAGCTCTTACAACATGCTTTGTGGCTAGCACTCATCCCTACCACCCAGAGAAACTTAGCAGCATGAGGCGACAGCTGCTGCTTCCCAGCTCATGTTCTTTTCTGCTCCACAGTCCACATGCTTATGAAATTCATTTTATTCCTCCCATTTTATATGGTTATTTAAACCCACAGAGGCTCCTCCTTCTCATCACATCAATACTTTTTATCCTTACTAATCTTCCCAGAAGTCTTTCTGGAGGCCCAAAGTGTACAGGCCCTGCCATAGTAGTCTTTCACCATTGTGAGTTATTACTTCATCCATATGACCTGTGCAGATGTCTGCCTCAATATCTCACTATACATCCATCAATCCCACACAATACTAGTTTCTGTTGGTTTACCCTATATGAATGCCGAATGCCACATTCCTTAATTTCAAGGAACTTGAGAAACAACATTCTTAAAAAGCTTTGTATCAGCCACCTTTCAGGCCTACAGGTATCAAAGCAGGTTTCCTGTGAGGTGTTACATGCTAGTTATTTCATCCTTCAGCCCCTTAAGAGCAGCACATCTGTTTGGTCTTTACACAGACTGGATAAAACATTTCCTGAAGATCAGGACAGGCTCCAGGCAAAGCACAGCAAGTGCCATTGTAGAAGTACAGCCTGGAATGGAGTGAGTACCACAGAGGTTATGTACCTCAACCCTGCTGTGGGGCAGACTGTGAGATATCAGCCACAGGCAACATCTTTCCTGGAACGGAGCATGGACAGATAATAACCTGTGCTGTCCCTCACATGTTTTCATCAACAGTGACCAGCGGACAAATTTGGGAGCACACCTGGAACACCAGATTGTGAATAGCACTTTGAATAATGAGGCAGAAGCAAGCAAGTGCCTAGCTAGTGCTGTTACGGCAACGTGTTTCATTAATGATTTCAGTGCTTCGAAGAGTCACCTGCCATCTCGGTGTACATCAGTCAAATGTTTTCCACAGGGAAGAAGCTTTGTTCACAGACTGATGGTTCCGCTGCTGCCCCCTCCAGCCTCTCCTGGCTGCCAGCACTGCCCGTTTAGGGAAATCCTCACGTTAGGCTTTAGCTGCAACATTTCTTCTCCTCTCTACCCACGTTAGCTTGTCTTTAACTTCTCTTTTGATTCATATATCCATACTGAATCTGTTCAGAGTATTTCCAGAATATTTTCCACACAAGCCCCATGGTAGGGTTTTGTGTGTTGGGTATGTTAGGAGACAAAGGGGAAGCTGAGAAGGAAGGGCAATTTTCACTAAGTCCAAAGATCAGAGGAATTGACCCAGCAGTCAATTACCACTTAGGCTTAGGAAATCTCTGTGGCACTTGAGCACTCTGCTCAGAAGTCTATTGCTTTCACTTTTCCTTCCCAAAATATTGAAATAAAACCAAATACAAGTATTTAGCAGAAGAACTAATAAAAAAAAAAAAAAAAAATCAAGTCAGACAGCAGCCAAGTCAGGTATTTATCGGAAAGCATCCCAGTAAGGCAAGTGAGAAGAAAAATATTAAAGCCACAGACATCTCTGGATGCCTAGTGCTTGGACCAAAAGACCAAAGAGTGCATATGCACTCCTTTAAAGAGTGTGATCACACACACAAGGCACACCTTTACTCCATCTATGAGATGGACAATGTTTACATTCCCAGAGCTGCCTGTAAGCACTAATATGGCAGCTCAATTACTAGTGAACATGACAGAGGATGCACGTGAAGCAAGAAGAGTAAAGCCTGACCTAACTTTATGTATAGATTAAGTTTCCTTTAACATTCCACAGGCTTCAAAACAATCTAGAGCAGGACGCTTAGCTGGATTTGGTGTAATGTACCACTTAGACCCTAAAGGTGGGTCAGTTTACTACATTATAAAGCGCTGACATCAGAACGGCCTGCAAGCAGAAATACCATGTATCATTGCAGAACAAGTCATTATTTACTGACTAGTAAGTCACAGACAGAACGCAAGCACCAGAGTAATCTCACCAGTGTCTAACAATCCCTACTTGAATGTCTTAGTGCTATTTAAATGCCAAAATATTGACTAAAATTACATAAAGTCTATCTTAGCAAAACCAGCTTCTTTAGAAGAATGTACTTATTAGCCAACTTCATGCCCTGAGAGCCCTGTCTATAACTGCAGCACCCTAAAGCTGTCAGCTACCATTAACAATAGATAGTGTTCAGAACTCTTGGTGGAGTTACTTCCCAGCATGTGCTGAATTCCCACCGAGCCCAATTAGCAGGGCAAGGCAAAACATTCGCTGCAGTAGTATGTTCAGTCATAAATCTAAAGCTCTTCTCAGTTTGTAATGTTACAATCATCTTCTTACCTTCTTTTCTCATCAAAGCTGAATTAATTTTTCCCTGTAGCAAGTAGATACTGCCAGTTGATGTTTTAACTTGGTTGCGTGCTACGCGTTCAATAATGGCACCACTATGCCAAACCACATCTTTCATATCTCTAAGACAGATAACATGAAGAACAGAAATAAAACATTGTTTTTATAGAAGAAATAATTTAAATCTAGACTATTAATATTCCACATAAGACTGGCAGTGCAACATAGGTAATGAGTAATACAGACACTGTGCTAGGTTTTCTCTTGTTAGCTTGGAAGAGAAACAGTTCTGGCCTTGTCTAATACTTGGACAGGAGACAGAACAAACATGTCCACTACTGCAAATGTGAGTCACAGAATATGGGCTTAGCGTTAGGCTGCAGAAGCAGAATGAACTAAAGGGCTCTCTCCATCCAGCTCATTGTTGCAGTGATACCATTACGCAAATTACAGAACAGCTCAAATGCGTATTTTCCCCAGGAATATTGTATTTATTTCTGACTTTCCCATTTAAAGACAAGAACAGCAGAAGAAGGAGCCCTAATATGTACAAAAATTAGAGCTGTTTAGAAACTATTAAGGGACTTCTCCATGAGAAATAAAAATCAGACTTAAAGTAGAAAAATCTGTATTTTGGGGGTTTTGAGGTATTTTTGGGAGTATTTTTAAGCATACTTTTGCAACAGTAACCAACAGATCAAACTACAGAGCAATATTAGACACTGAAACCCAAGATGACAGTGAAAATATGCAACTGTATAACCTGTCACAAGCCAATTCAGGGAGTCTGTGAAGTAAGTGAAAGAAATACGTGTAAGCAGCATGCATCGGATACACACCCACACAGATGAAAAGAGGTATGTTGCTAGTAGTCAAGGGTGTAGGGTGAGAGGATCTGTTGTTTTCAGATAGTCATGAAACAAATGTCAATTCCTGCTGCAAACCCTACCATAGGGCATGCAGCCTCCCAACATCCTCAGTAAGCCCATAGAATTGCTTCCTTTGACAGTGCTACTGCTGTTAAGTTCTGAGTTTTCAGTAGATAAGTGTTAAAGAGTTACTGACTACAGAAAGAGTAGAATACTCTTTCCTCATTTTTCAATGTCTTCAAACAACTTTATTGCAAACTAAAACTCTTCGTTGTTGACATTTGTTTTCCAGCTGTTTGAATACAATCTGACCAAAACCACAACAAAAACCCCCAGAGCGTCAGTTTTCAGATGGAACAGGTGCTGCTGTAGGAGTAGTGGTGCCATCACAAATAATATGGAGGGGATACCTGGCTGATGGCAGTCCACACCAAGTTTGACTTAAAGCAGCCACAAAACACAATTTTTGTGAAATGAAATAGAAGATCATAAGACACCAAATAAACACCAGTTTGGGGGATCTACCAAACACATTTATTCCTCTTAAGCTCTCTGACTGACTTGGGACTGGACTTTGAAATAATTATTTAACCCACAGTTTCCTGAATATAGGCACTCTACCTCTGGCACCCATAAATGAAATCAGTTTCTTCCTTAATAAAGAAGTTTAAGTGATAACATCACTTTGTATTTACCAAAGCCTAACAATAAGTTCCATGAAGGCACAGCCCCAGGACAACCATGGCTCCTTCTCCCAGCACTCCTCAGCAGCCAGCTGCGCAGCCACTCATCCCTCATCCACAGCTCTGCCATCCTGCAGTCTCTGAGCAAGCGGGTTCAGTGTGCTTAACCAGAAGCTAGACAGCTATGGTTATAAGATAGAGTAAGAGCTGCCAGCACTGCCACAAGGTTTCAGATGCAAGCAAAGGGCCATGTTCCCTGTGGCTGGGGGGAAAACAGCAAAAACCTGTGGAAGTGCTTCCAACAGTTAGCAAGATACTTCAGGAATACAAGTCTCAAACCAGCAGCTATTCAAGCCAGGGAAAGGTAGCACAACCTTTCTAGCCCAGATGCTGAAAGCACATCAGCATGTTTTACCTTGCATTTAAATTAAAAAACTATTCCTTACTTCCGTTTTCCTTCAACACATATTGCAGTGTTACCATCCATCACTTTAATTCTCCAGCTGGTTAGGCAGATGTTTTTCTGTTTTAAAAAAAAAAAAAAAGATAATTACATCACTGTTTAATTAGACTGAGCTATGAAACATCCCCAAGGCTTTAGCAAAATAGAAATTAACTCATGCATAAACCAAGATATTAGGCATCATCATCCTCCAGACCAGAGAAACTGCACAGTTACACACATAAGTACTGAAGCATAATCAAGCTGAAGTTGAATGCACAAGTGAAGACAGGAATTTAAATTGTATAAACTTTGAGTAATTTAATGTTGACTTTCAGAATACAAAGTCATTAGCCAAGACCTCTAGCAAATCCAGAAAGCTCCTCACAAAAGATACCAACACTATGCCACACCTCTTACACTTTGGCATCTGTCCTCCATTACTGCCCAAAATTATCCATGAAAAAATGAAATTGTATTTGTTAGTTATGTTATTGCTAAATTTCAGAGGGTATTGAAACGGCTATATCAAATCCTGCAAACTCCTGACATATGTACAGCTGCAAAGCCTTCATTTTGCAGTAAAAAGCCAGCTGTACTTGAGTCAGTTTGGAAAACTGTGAAGCATATTCCTTTGTTTTAAAGAAAGCTCCCTGGAAATTCTTAATGTCTGAAACCATCACTGTTTCTCCTCACAACTTCAGTTAATCAACTCCTGATCTTGTCTTGAGTAACACTGGCCCTTGTACCATCAACCTTGGCCTCACTGAAGATGTTACCAATGATTTAACCCTACAGACAGCACCTTCTGATGCTCAGACCCATCATGTCCAATAACAACATCTCTTCCAACATCTACTTAGCTACAAATCATAGAATGGTTTGGATTGGAAAAGACCTTAAAGATCATCTAGTTCCAACCCCCTTGCCATGAGCAGGGACACCTTCCAGTACACCTGGTTGCACAAAGCCCCATTCACAACCCCCATACTTGTAGGGGTGGAGCATTTATCACTTCTTTGGACAACCTGTTCCAGTGTCTTATCTAAATCAAAACTCCTTTAAAAAATAAAAATACAGGGAAACATCAAACATGCTTGGCAAAAGTGAGGGAAAACAAAGCAATTAACCTGCTTAACTTCAATAGGACTGCAATTTCACAGATTTCTCCAGGGAAGAAAGGGAACTCAGCCCTTGGGAAGGTACGGTTCCACCAGCCTCCTAGGGTAGTCACTGAAAGATGATGCAACATGATTCAAAATCCACTGCTTCCCTTGAGACTTAAGTTAGCAAGATGCAAATACTGCCAAGCATGTCTTCAATTGAAAAGATCTGCAGACTAGTCTCCTAGAAAATTTTTGTCCTGCTTAATTTAATGAAAGTTTGGATATCCTGTAGGAAAGCCAAGATTTTTACCTCCTCACCAGCTGTACAGGTTCAATTAACTAAGAACCATCCCCAGCCTACAGCCAGGAATGATCTCTCCTCCTTGGCTTTGCATTGACAGCCAAGAGCTAAATTGGCCAGTGATCCGTTTTTATGCCCATCACACCAACACACAGCAGTTCACATATTAAAGAGATGATGTAGGAGGCTCCTTCAGGTGGAAAACGCTTTCAGCCCATACTGTAGCTTGTGAACACTAAAACAAAAAGGCTTTTTTTATACAAAAAAAGGGAAAAAATAACCCACAACCAGTAAGATCTAATACAATAACATATATTCTCTTCTGAATCCTGAGTGCTTGTTATTCTTGACATAGAAAAAAAATTAAATCAATAAATCACAACTCAGAGCTACAGGCAGCCCACAAGAATAGATCAGTTGCCCTGAAGTATTAAGTTCTCCTACCTCTTTGTCTGTTTTGCCAGCAACTTGGTCTGTGTGAGGTTTATCCAAAGGGACTTTAGAGCCTTCTTTCGCCTTTTGTTTCTGCAGAATGTGGACTTCAGGAGAAGAGCATGTAATATTGCCTATGCACTGAGATGGCTTCTGAGAATTAGCCTCCTGCACCTTTTCTGTTCCATGAGCAGCTTGCTTATTACTTGCCTGCAATCCTCTTCTGCTTTGGTGAGGTTCAGTTCGTTTTGCTTCTCCATTTCCCCACCTTTTTTCTAACTCATCTCCATTTTTAAAAGGGGTAGAGTTTAAATTCACATAATTAATCATTGTATCTTGAGACATTTCATCATCAGCATCCATTGCTTCCATAATGAAATTATCCTGACCATCCTTATCACTGGCCAGGTACTCTGAAGGATCACTCCCAAGCTGCTCAGGAAAAGCAGATTTGACTAATGGCTTTTCTGTAGTTGTGGAAGGAGCAATGTTCTGCTTGGTTGGGTTTGAAGGTGTTGAATCTGCCCATTAAAAAAAAAGGAACAAAGAAAGTAGTGATATTTGAGAACTAATAAACATGGTCATAAATTAACTGCATTTTTAATAAGAGGATGCTGTATTGATTAGCATTACAACAGCTGTGAAAGCACTGCCTGTGTCAATTGAAGCCTTCTCTGAAGTTGTTCAAACTACCTTTTCCTCACCACCACACCAATACCCTGCTGTTAAAGACTTACAGATGTTCCATGTCCAAGCGAATGCACACCGTATCTATTAATAGTATCTCTTTACCATTCTTAGTATCTTTTCTTTAATAGAACCTCCTGGCAGAACAAAAAAATCATTTCACAAAACCCCAAATCTCAAATATATCCATCTTCCCAGAATACAAGATCTGGGGTTGCAACCCTGCTTCTGTTAGGCTGGGAGCCACAAGCATCAGGTTTGAGCTTTCAGATAAATTCAGTTTTGAACACTACTAAGACTTTGACAAGCATAATTTTCTTCATCTGCATTTTCCAAACTGGATTACCAGACAGAAGCATAAATAGGGTTGTTATCAAGTAATGACATGGGGAAAAAAAAACAGGAGAATTTCTTGCAGAGCAAATAAACAAGAGGTTTAGGTTTTTTTCCACCAAGTTTCTCATTTAAATGACAAAGTATCTATCATACCTAGTCACTACAGAACTCTTAACCACATCATGGGCCTGAAAGTAGCTGGCTTTTGTGTTAGCGGAGTCCGTGCACTCAAATGGACTAATGATGCCAAGCTTTAAGGCCAGAAGTCCACAGACCTAAGCCATAGTTAAACCAAGCCCAGTGCCATCTGCAAGTTTCTTCATCCATTTTCACTGTGTCCAGACTACAAAGAAAGAGTGATGCCCTGCCAAAGCGCACAAGAGATTATAAGCAAGAAGGGAAAACCCTGAAAGAGAGTTTTGAAGTGTTTTCAGAGCAATACCAAGTACCTTTTTGCTGCTGCAGTTTCTTCTTTATACGCAAGAAGAATTTCTGAGGGGTCTCCAGAAGAGGGTCTACAGCTTTTGTGATCTGGTGCTCAGGAATGTGAGTGCAAAGTAATTCTGGAAAACAGTATTAAAAAAGGTATTTCTGAATTTGGGGAACAAAGTCTTTTCTTATATGGGGCTGTGGAAGCAACAGAAATACTTCATGAAATACTAATCTCCACTATACAACACGTTTTCTTTCTTAAGATGGATGATCAATGCCACCTTTCCTTTTTTTTCAAGGGATTATAGCTGTCATACTGCCTCAGCTGCATGTTAGAAACACCCTGAGGTATGCTTGATGTAACTCAACCCACACGGATCAACAGGAGTTTGGAGGTCCCTACAGGCGGGATGTGTTTCACATTAATAAAGTCTTAAAAGTAGCAGAAGTAACTGCTTGCTTTGGCTTTTTCATTTACAAAGTGTAATTCTCTGTTTTTCAAGACACTGCAACGGGTCGACCCCTTTCATTCACAAACACAACAGAGGAAGCAGTTAAAGTCAAGCTAAAAGAGGGAGAAGATACCACGAATGGGATTCTTCAAAGCTAAAGAAAGGGGAAGCGAAATCAACTATGCCACAGGCACATTTTAGCATTAAGAAGCCCATAATCTAAACTTTTTTTTACCAGCTGAGGGAAAGCCAGTAACTGGTACCGATATTTTCTACACCTGCAAACATGCACTGGGTACTTCTCCCAGCCCCCGGAAGGGTCAAAACCTAAATGCAGAGATACCGAACGAAAGGTTAAACAGGAGACAGCTTTCTCGGAACAGCAACGGGACGCACCTTTTCCTGGCTGGATGTCCGCACCGCGCACCTCGGCGGGCCGCTGCCAGCCTTCTGCAGAGGCATGTCCCTTTTGCCTCCGGCCCTCCTGCGCTTGGATCGGCGTCAGGATCAGGTCGCTGCCGCAGCCCCTCTGCGGAGCCTTTCCCACGGGCGGCGCCAAGTCCTGGTTCTGCTGCCGGGTCGCGGCTTTCATCCGCTGGAAGATTTTGACCGGGGACTCGCTGGCGGGCGGTTCGCACGCCAGTCGCTTCAGCCACCGCCCGGGACCGGAGCCGGGGCTGACCTCGTTGACACCCAGAATCTGCCCGCCGCAGGCGCTGCCCGCCAGCAGCGTGGAATGGAAGACGCTGCCGGCCGCTGCCCCCCTCGAGCAGCTCTCCCCGCAGCCCGCCGGCTCCGCGGCGTCTCTGTGGGAGCCCTGGCCTCGCAGGAGATCCTTCAAGGGGGTCAGCATACCGGGGACGCTACTAAGAGGCACTGACCGGAAAGGCAGCTCTCCCCGGCTGCGGGCCGAGCCGCCGCCGCCGGTGCCGGTGCCGCGGACTGGGGTCACGATCATCCCGCCGCAGGAGTCGAGTCCCGCCGCAGTCCCTCACGGCCGCCTCGGCCCCGGCCCCGGCCGGTCTCCCGCTGCTCCCCCGCCGCCTCTAACGCTCCTGCGCCTCCCCAGGCACCGGCGGCGCCAAGCGCGCGCGCGGCGGAGCCCGCCTTAGCTGTTAGAGAATTTGAGTGCAGCCGCCGAGCGCTGATTGGTGGTGAGGGCCCCAACGTCACTGCCCGCTGGGCGGGGCGGAGCGGAGCGCTGCCGCGCGGGTGTCGCGGCGCTGTACCTAGGGGAACGGCGGCGCCGGGCGTCCGTGCGCGCCGCTTGGTGCGTGCGGCCTGTGAGGAGGCCTCTGCGTGCGGCGGCTGCGCCTCAGCGCCGGGTTGAGCTGCTGGCGGGAAGAGGGCGAGCGGAGCGGGCCCCTGTTTGCCGCACACACGCGGAGAACGCGCGGCACCTCCGTGTCGGGAGGATGAGCCCGCCTCGGAAGGCTGATGGGCTCGAGGCAGAGCGGCGGGCAGCGCAGGCGGCTCGGCACGGGCCCGGCGGGATGGGGCAGAGCGCAGCCAGGGGTAGGGTGAAATGCAGGAGGGAGAGTAACGGTGAGAGCGCGGTGGAGCGCAGTTCCGGGCTCGCTGCTGGGATCTGGTCTGCGGGGCGACCCGAGCTCTAACTACGTGCAGATGCTCTCAAAGACAGCGATGATTCCGGTCTATAGCCGTTAGTTTCAGTGTAATTGGAGCTCTGAAAACAAGCTGTTCTCTCTCTTGGCAGAAAGAGTAAGTGGTAGAGTTAGATACTTCAAGTGGGAAATGCATAATGAATCAACATCTTCATCCAGCAGCCTGGCTGTTCCAGCTAATAAGAAAGCATGGTTAATAGTTTGTGGAATCAGGTGAGCCAGATTAAAGATTAGCCCCTGTAGGTAGGTTTCGAATCACAGAAGGGTTTGAGTTGGAAAGGACCTTAAAGCTCATCCAGTTCCAGCCCCCTGCCACGGGCAGGGACACCTTCCACTAGACCAGGTTGCTCCAAGCCCTTTCCAACCTGGCCTTGAACACTGCCAGGGATGGGGCAGCCACAGCTTCTCTGGGCAACCTGTGCCAGGGCCTCACCAGAAGTTCAATTTTGCGTAAGAAATTGCCTTGGTATTTACTGTAATTTACAAAATGCCTGCTAATAAAAAGTAACTACATTAAAAAGCCTAGTAATGGTGGATATTTTGGGGTTCTCTTTGGTGTTTTGTGACTTTTTTTTTTTTAATAATTCAAGTGTTTGGGCTTCTTACAGGAAATGCAGATGCTAATTAGTAGCCAAGATTATATATCAGACAATGATCCTGTGCTTGCTGCTACCCAAAGAATTTGTATGTTGAGGAGAAGAACCTAGGTGAGCAGTTGTCAGCGTTAAGAGCCAAAGGTACGTGTGCCTCTGGGGAGCAGCGGTGTCCTGAGCTGTAAAGAAAGTAGTACAGTTAGCAGAATGTTTTGTAAGAGTTGGTCTCGAAGCCTTTTTGTGAGGGCTTTGTGTTCTTCTGAAATGCTCCTCAACAAAAGAAAGCATCTGCTATGGAGACTGAGATCTGTGAGTGAGTGAGCTGGGCGAGTACTGCCTGTTACACAGTGGCGTCTGGATGCGTGGGGTCCAAGAGCAGGCGTTCCACAAGATGTTCAGTCACAGAGGGATTCTCTTCAGGATGGACCAGCTCTTGTGGTATCTGCTGCTGGCCTTGGCTTCCTGTGCTGGTCTTTCCATGGCAGTTTGTGGAGCCAGGCTGCCTGAGGGAAGTAATCAGGCTGGAGGTGGCAGAAAGGAAAATGAAAGAAGAGCGGGGAAAAAAATAAAATGGAAATGCCAAGAAAAGGCTGTGTTTTCTGTTCTGCGCTAGTTGTGTTTCTGATGGTGGTTGGTATAAATTTGACTGTCCTTACAGCCAGCATAGTCTCAGCCCAGCCAGCACAGTGATGGTAGGCCAAAGAAAGAGCAATTGGTTTGATGCCCTGTAACGCTGTCAGCTTCTAATGGTGTGCGTTGAAGTGTAATGGTTCAGTTCTTCTTAAGAAGCAACCCACATTTAATCCATATCTCTAATGATATCTTATTGCTACAATAATATATTAAATAGTTATCAACTTTCACCAGAGTAATCAAAAGCAAAGAAAATTTGTTTTGTTCCAATTACTTGCACAAGCATCCTCTTGGGGGAAGGGCATGGGGGGTGGAAAATGGGATCCTCAAGAAATTTTATAAGTGGTAGTTCCTTCTTTCTGGTATGAGAGGTTTGTGAGATTTGGGGGTGTAGTTTAGAGAGTTGTCAATGCCCATACTTCTTATAAGCTTTGTTAATAGGGCAAAGCAAGTCCTCTTTTGTGCATGGTACCAGAAACAATGGAGCTTCATAAATAGCATTTCTTGGATAATTTTTAAGCTGCTTTGGTAATTCTTAGCTCCATAAAAGAAAGAACAGGTTGATTATATAGAGATTAAAGAATAATCCAGACTAAGTACAGAAAGCTGTTAAAATAAAAAGAACTAATTTGGTGTTTGTTGGGTAGTGTGATATCGGATACTTGGAGCAGCAGCAGTGTATGCAGAAGAGCTTGCTCTGCTGGAGGCAGAAAGTGTATGTTCTGTAGCTTAAAGCCACACCTTTAAGTGCAGGCTACCTGGTAGCCTTGTCAGGTGTTTGTGCTGTGGCCTTAAAAGCAGACCCTGGTATTTTGCCAATTAGAATACATCTATTTAAATCTCAGCAATTATGAGAAAGGACCTGAAAACTGGCATTCTGATAGGTGGTTCTCTTGGAGACTGCTGATGCCAGTCTTCATGGAGAAAAGGATTCACCACAGGACAGATCATGATTGCATTATAAAGAGATTTCTGAGGTATTATTTTCAGACTTTCTGCCTCTGTTTAGTTTCCAGTGAAGATCTAAAGTGCCATTCTCCTGATGGGTCTCATATAAGCTATTTTGGCAGCAGCTGCAGAATTACAAGTCAAGTGTGTTGTAGATTGCAAAGCCCAGTAACCTCAGAGCCAGATCTGTAGTGTGGGTTTAAACTGGAAAGAACCCGAAATGCACACTTTGCATGCTGTTTGGCTGAGGGGTGCATGTTTCGTCACGTTTGTTTTGCCAGGAAATACTTGAGGATTTCTCTTTTTTGGGGGGGTCATTTTAACAGATGCTGTCAGTGAAACAATCCTGCAAATTGTATATACATATCAATGTAGAGCTGTGAGAATAAATGTTTGGAATCCTCCGAATGGTTTAACCTCAGTGCAGTCTGGCAATCTCTCTTCTGTGTCATGTTTTTGTTCTGGAGAGATACCAAGTAAATAGAAGATCAGCAGGTTCTGTTAGGCCTTTGTCATCTGCAGCACCCATGAGAGAATGCCAAGTGTTCTGTGATCCCAAAACAAGGTTCCAAATGGGAGAAATAGAGTAAATGGAGGGAAATGTGTTTGAAATTTTATTTAGTCAAGGTAGGATACTGTTGATAATTAAAGAAATGTCATCTTGTCCTCAGGTCTTTCTGCTCTGTGTTCCTGTAGTTATTGTGAATCGGACCTTAGCCTTTTATTGCGCCTTTCCTTTCTGGAGCTGTTTTTCTGGCAGCTTAGCAATTATGTTGGTCATATCTACCCATCTGCCTAGAGAGCTAGTAGGGACCTTCTGGCAATGTCATTACTGTGCTTTGCTCGTTGTCTTATGAAAGGTGTACTCTCATTTCTGGGAGAAAAACAATGCTTGTTTTAATTTTCCACACTTTTTTTATCATTCAGTTTATCCTTCATTCAGATTTTTGTGATCTTAATAATTTTTATGGGTGAAAGAAACCCTTACTGCTCCCTTTTGGGCGGGAGGAGTGGTGGCAGAAGAAAATACTTGTATATTTCATGTATGTTTACATATATGTATATACAGGGTGATTTCTTACTGGCTTTAAAACGCAGAAATGCACAATAATCGTCATTAAACCTAATTAAACCTTTTCCTGCTGCAAATGACTGACAGATTTCATTGTTTCTCTGATTTCTAGCCTTTGTTTTACTTTCCTGTTTCCTTTATAGGGTGCTCTTGAAGCAGTTGAGTGGACCATAAAGCTGTTAGCTGTGGAATCCTTATCTAAGCTTTCTTTGGTTTCCGGAGGGTTGGAAGGCATTCAGTGCATTAAGAGAGACCTTAATGCAAACGAGTCTTGTGGTTAGGCAGGGAAGTATTCCCTGTGAGAACTTGTGTCTGCTTCTGACAGAGCTCAGAGTGTGTTAAAGCAACCTTTTCATGGGCAGTCTTACAGAGGATGTTCAGTTTCCTGAGAGCCTGATTATTAAAAGTCCCAAACACTTGAGACCTGCTGGAGTGAATAGATGTGGCTGAGCTGCAGGGATGGAGTGTCTGGGGAGTGTGGCTGTCTCCATTCAGGCTGGCTGCTCGTTTGTTCAGCCTTTGCTGGTCTTGGCTATAGCAGTTTAGTATTCTCTTCCTGAACTGGGGATGGCTTTTGGTGACCTTAATGGAAATTTTGGAGTAATAGTTTGATTACTTTAGAGACATGAAAGCCCATGCCAGTAACTTGTTGCAATTACCAGAAGAAATTCTGATCATAGAATTCCATTTTCCTGTAGGAAAAGCATGTGCCATCTGCTGTGTTGGAAAACGCGTGCCCTTCTGTGGCAAAGAAGCACTGAGTCCCGCAGCGGCCAAGTACTGCAGGGGCTGAGCTGGGAAAGGACATTGCTTCTGCAAACACAGGAGTTGCCTTAGTTGGTGGAGGCAGCCTGCTGTGACTGAGGATTCCCTTCAGCCTGAGGGTTTGCCTGAAGCCTTTCAATGCTCAAAGACCTCCAAGAGCAACACTTGAAAACATGCGTACTCTGAAAGCAGCATAGTGGAGTGAGTTCTGCATTTCCCTGTGCTTGCTGCTGTGGTTCTTGAGAAGTCTGATTGATCCAAAGGCATTCATGTCTGTCTGCGTATGTCTCTGCTGGGAGAAATCTGTAGTATTTTGTACTCC